GCCACAATAAAAATATTTTGCACATTCAGTGTTGAGTGTTTTGTGTATACTTGATAGAAACACCTTAGCAGCCACCACAAACAGATGCAAGTTTTCTTGGGGAAGTCTATCAGTGTTGTACATGTGGATGCAATGGACCTTTGATAAATAGCAATTTTCAAGTCTTGTCACAGATTCTTAGTCTGAGGTCTGGACTTTGATGCCATTCCAATGCATTCAGGTTCTTGTTTTTAAACCAATCTAGTCTTACTCTGGTTGCGTGTTTAGGGTCAGTCTTGCTGGATGGTGAACCTCTGCCCCCATCCCGGGTCCCTTATAAAATGAAGTAAGTTTTCTCTAGAATTGCCCTGTATTTGGTGCCATCCATATTGCTCTTAATCTTGACCAGTTTCCCAGACCCTGCCAAGGAAAAGCACCACACTTAACGTGATGCTGCTACCACCAAGCATCACTATGGGGATGATGTTCTTTGGTCAAAGAGCAATGTTGGCATTATGCCTCACATAGCATTATGCAGCAAAGCCAAAAAAATTCAATTTGGTCTCCTCTTTTTTCCTACATGTTCACTGTGCCTCCCACATGCCTTTTTACAAACTCCAAACTGTCTTTAGTATGGGTTTGTTTTCAGCAATGGCTTTCTTCTCACCACTCTTCCATAAAGGCCAGCTCTGTAGAGCAACGGAGTGATGGCTTCTCCCATTCATGGATCCCTCCAGATTTACTGACTTGCTTTATTTAAAACTAAAGCCAGATTGATTTCAGTAGGTCTTCTCTAAATATGTGGATCTCTCTACCTCCTTCAAAGTCATATCTGGATTTTTTATTGATTCTCTAATATACTCCTTACCTGGTTACTGTGCTTTTCTGAACAGTCTTCTCTAAGTAGTTGCAGTTGAGTCAGATTCTTTCCATGTTGTATTAATGAACTTAATGGTGCTCTGGAGAATGCTTATAGTTTCAGATTTATTTATTTTTATAACTGAACCCTGATAGATGTTTTCTGCACAACTTTACCACAGTTACTTTAACAGTTTTTTGGACTTTATGATACTGTCCAACAAGCTCTGCGGCCTTTTGGAAACAGGTGCATTTAATCTGAGATCATGTGACACTGAAATTGCACACAGCTGGACTCCATTTAACCACTTAAAGTATGCAACTTGTTGAGGAAGAGGTTGCACTAGAGCTTATTTAACCATGCCACAGCAGAGGGAATGTGCAGTTATAAAACCAACAAGTGCCAGTTTGTTTTTGCTTACTTAACTTTTGTGCCACAATAAAAATACTTCACATATTCACTTTGTTTAGTATCATGTATACATCAAATAGTGACATTGCCAATTAAATCCATTTCAATTCCAGTTGTACCAAAACAAAATATGGAAAGGTAAACAAGGGGGGGATGAATGTAAAACACTACATACATGGTAACTCTGAAAGGGGTGTTACTCCCCCTCCTTTCTGGCAAAGCACAGGAAAAGGAGTTCCTCTGCCTCCGATTTACTTTCCCTCACCCCATAAGACTGCCTTGTCTATTTCATGAGACATCTGAAAACCCCAAATTTAATGTTGTTACCTATTTAGAGAAACAGTTTTCACTTTTGTTAGGAGACAAATTTCATTTTTAGTCCTAATGATCTATTTAAAAACATTTCAAAGAATGCTTGTAGGTAGGACAACCAAGTTTATATGCAATTCATTTAATCATATGAACAGTTGTACTTTGAAAAACAATGCCACCCTAAAGCTATAAGTCACATAAAATTGTCATAATATTCTGTTCAGCTGTCACAGAAGCCAGTAAGGAGAATTGTGAGGCATCAATACTACTTTGAATTCTATGAGAAAGCTTAACAAAACTCCTTTAGTTACAATATGACACTGGGCCAACACAGAGTAAAAGATACCTGATACAAGGGTCCTAAGCCTAATAGCAGTATCCTTGTAGTATATAGCAATGGCTGTCCTCAGTTCAGATACTTGTTAGGTGAGTTTTTGCCAAAGATCCACTATTAAGCTCTTTATGTAAGCACAGAACCAAGTGCTGAACAGGTGTCTACAACTCTGAAATGTTGACTCAAACAGCTGATCCATCTTGCTGCTTCAAGTTCAGCAAGATACCTCTCACACACCCCACAAGTTTTCAGCAGGGAAAATGAGTATTTGCCACAGTCCTAGCATCTTAACTAATAGATCTCATTTTTTATATGTTCCGAGACTCTGAACTGAAGATTGTCTCTCAAATGTAAAAATAAAAAGACCTCAGCAACAGCCAAATGAGTGAGGCTACCCCCTTGAATACACTTCAGCAGACCATTTTGTGTTATGATCCTAATAGATTATCCCCAACAATAAAGGTACAATTGCTCGGTTTGCATTTCCCCACTAAAAAAGTCATAAAGGAAATGGAGAAAGAAAAAAACAGGTAACTAAACTATAGTACTTACAGGCCACTGAGATGCACCAGCTATTGCCTAAGAATTACGGAGACAGCTTGGCAAGAAACCCAACACCTTTGATCGTCCAGACAAGGCCACAGAATATCTTCATGACGACACCAGCGATTCCTCCATCCTTATCCTGTATTTTCTAACTTTTCAAAGGGAGGAAGTACCTCTCTTCTCTCATGAAATAACAGAGAAAAGGAAGTGCCCGAATATATCGGAATTCCTTTCTGCTCTCTCCATAAACATGTAAAAATACGTACCAAAATCATACTAGTTCCTCCTCCACCCTTGCGGGGCAAGGAAAAAAGAAAAAGTAGCGCTCCCCACCCTCCGGAAACACTTCTCCTTTGAATTCCGCCACCTCCCCTTAATCTGGGAGAGGCATGTCACGGTCTTCTTGAAGGGTCCCCGTTTCCATGGAGAGAGGGCTGCCTGCTGGAGCAGATCGCCTGACAAATAAATAAATGTGTGCTCGAGCGTGAGAGGAGAGGGAAGACGGGTCCCTCCCCGCAAAGGCATCGCGCTTTCCTCCCAATGCGACCCCCGCCGGGCCGCGCTCTCTCAGGCAACTGAGGGGTGGCTGAGGCGAAAGGTCCGTATTACCTTTCGGCGCCGAGACCCGAAGCTTCAACCCAACGTAACCCGGGAGCGGCGGCGAAGGCGGCAATTCTTACCTATGGGCTCTTGCACGGGCATCTGGGCCGGGCATGGCCGGGCCAGGCTGGCCAGGGCTGGGAGGTTACTCGAGGCCTCCCGCGGCAATCGCCATCAGGGTGAATCCATCTCGAACTCCCCCTTCCGTCCCTTCACAGAGTCCCAGGAAGCGCCTTGGTCTGACCCAACTCCCCTCCCCAGCCGAGCCGCCCACTTAGCCCACTGCTTCCCAGCATACAGCGCGGCTAAACGCTCCAAAGCAGTTGCGTGGCCCACCGACACATCCTATTCCTATGTCACTTCCTACACGGGCCGGACCCGTGCGGATACGTACAAACCTAGAGATAAAAATTAGAGCTCCTCACCTGGCCGAACTTTAAATGCTTATGGTGTATGGTAACGCTTAAACAAAAAATGGGACTTGCCTCTCCGATGTAAGTTCTTGTGCAAACTATATGGGCTTACCCTACAGAAATGTCAAGGAACAGAGAGGCACTCGCTTTATGGTGGCGTCCCGCTTTTACGAACGTCGAAGCTGCATGTCACGTTCTTACATACAAAGCTGACCGTGTGGGGATACCCGACCCACAGTGGAGCGACGCTGCCGTCCGAGATGAGAAGGAAAGTCTATCGCCGTACCTTGCTTTGCTGTAGGAAAGTCTAATCGAGGCAGAGGCGGCCATGTTTGGAGAGGGCAACCTTGCCCTTGCTCCGCCAGAGGAAGAGTCTGTAGCTGGCATGACGACTCGTCTTATGGTCTGCGCCAGCGCCCGCCCCGCCCACCGCGTGCGCCGGCTGCTGCGCTCGCAGCTGAGTGCTGATCCTAGCGGGTGGCGCGGGAGCCGACAACTTCTCACGCGCGAATTACTCATGAGAAGTTCTGTCTGGTCGAGTTTATCATGAGACTCACGATGCTGCATCTGTCTTTTCGATAAACGAAAACGTGTATTAAGCTTAATAATATACGTTTATTGGAGAATGGTCCATACGGCCCGTTTTTGCATTTTCATGATAAATCCGACAGTAAAACTATTTATTCTTCAGGCTTCATCATAGTATTATTTAAGTCCTTGTTGCTTTACATTAACGCTCACAGAGTTCACATTTCAATTGGTCAAATAATCCTAAATGTGTTCCTGGAAAGCGGCTAAAGCTTCATATTAAGCAGATGAGCGTGCTCCAACCCAGTGCTTTCCCGACTACAACGTCCAGCAGCCCCGCAAGGATAGCTGGAGGGCACCAGATTAGGAAAGGGTGCAGCAAGGATTGGATCTGGAATTCCCGTGTCCGTGTCTTCCCTACTATTACCTGCATCACACTGTCCAACTTTCTAGATTTCAAAAGCAAGTTAACTTGTTTTCTTACACGGGCTTTTAAAAGCATCCATACACCCCCGTACACACATAACATTTAGGAACAATAACAGCAAAGCATTCACACGATATCAAAAGGTATTTTTGACTACTTGAAAGTAACAGGGTGGGTTTGATTTCACTCAATAATTTAAACAAAAGGTTGATTTAAATGAGTTTCCCCTTAAAACTTTTTATATGTTTCCTTGGCTCTAGGACAAATCATGCCACTAAAACATGTGAATTTACAACTAAATAGAGTATTATTTACACTGGTTCATTCCTACCAGCAGGATTTGCTTCTCTTTGTCACACTGTGTGCATGCTTCTTCTTTTTTTTAACCTATAGAACAAATGCCTTTAAATACTCCCAGATAGGATCTTCCTTATGACCAACCCCCAACATTGTTTGAGGTCAACAACCAAATTCTATATGTACATCTACTTAGTTCTAAGTAGAGTTCTACTGAGTTGAGGCCTACTCCTAGATAAGTGGAACTCATACTAAGGGAACAGAAGATGTACACTGGAATTTTTATTGGGTTTTTTTCCAGTTGTGTTCTTTTCTGGTTCACTGTGTCATAGTCCACAAAACCACAAACAAAAATGTATTCTCTGTGATTGATAAACCAAAGGGGAAAATCTAATTTAAATAAAAATTCTATTTGTTGAATAAGTGTTCATTTTTATCGACCCTTCCACACTGTCTTTCCATTTTACCTACCTCCTCAGCCTTGCTTGGCCCAACTCCACTGTCACATAAAACAACAATCCTGTGGGTTTTTCCAAATGATATTTTTAAGGTGCGGTTGACAGGTTTACATGACACATGTCATGCTCATAGGCACATTGTGATGCTGGACAAACTTGCAATAGGTCTGTCAAGTTTGGCTTATAAACCACTCTGAAAACCTCTGGCTTGCAGTATGAGTTGTTTGACTGCAATGCGTTCTCCTGTCATCTGAACCTGGAGAATACACCCATCATGAATGAAGACAAGTTGCCACATAGTTGCAAAATTCCCTTGTTGCTACTGCTGCTACTGGACATATGCCATTGCTAGCCATCTCCAAAAAACTTGAGCAGCTGGCAGTCTTCCCACATTCCCCACTGCGGGTTTCATAACCACCTTGAGTGAGCCTTGCTCCTGAAATACCTTCTGGGCTTGCTGCAACATCCTTTCCCCTTCCTTTTTATTGCTTTTTGGCAAAGCCAAAAGCTGTTTCCCTTCTGCAGGAATGGCCACCTCACTCTCCTTCCTATTACCAGCAATATCCTTGTTAGATTTTCAAGTCAGTTGATCAGGTATATTTACACCTGCATGGGCTCATGCTGCAATTCCAGTGCCCATATATTGACATTGTACTCCCATTCCAGGTGCCTGTATGTCCCAGTGCAAGGAACAGGTTCACAAAGAGCAAATAACAAGCTCATGGGGGGAACTCTTTGGGATAGAAAAACTCTGCAAGGAAAGAGTAATCTCCCTCCTACTCCAGTGCAGTGTGAGTGGCTAAATTTATCCCTTTTTTTGTATAGAAATAAAAGAAATACCTGCTAGTTCTTTGATGACGTAAAAGATGAGGGCCACTTCCACATGCAGGAAATTCCCTAGAACACCACCACAGAGATGAACTATTTGCATCAGTGTTAACATTTTCTAGTTAATAAACAGTCTACTTAATTATGGTGTGACCTTTGGCTTGAACTTAAATCAAGAGCACACACTTTGATGATGATCATGTAATTTTGCTGGTATTTAGCAGAAGACAGAGATTATCATGTGACAGAGTAACATCCCTAGAATGGTATATTAATTATATGTAATCTCCAAGGAAGTATTAGGCCTAAAAATATTTGCACACAATGTCTCAAATAATGTTTCTGAGATAGCATCTGAGGTCCCAGTTGGCCATTTGCTGTCAACTCACAGAAGAAATTATGGCTGCAGTACCCTTGAATAATTACGTATTATTTATCTTACCTTATATTTTGTATTGGGATTTGTCTAGGATTTGGCTGAATCCTGAAGCGAGTCAGGCTGTTTTGAACAGATTCTGAAAATGTCTGAATCAAATGGGGCTCCCTCTCCCCAGGCTGATTCAGACTAAATCCAGATCAAAATACTCCTGAAGATTCAGGATTTGGAGGGTACAGAGGCACAAAATCATTACATTATGCTGAAAGGAGTCAAAATAAGGGAAGCACCAGGGGAGGAGGGGGCCATTGTTTTGTGATTGGCAGCTTTAGCTTCTCCTCAGAAGGTTTTCCAGGGATCTCCCATCCCAGTGCCTTGATTAGGGATACTGAAGTAACAGATTGCAGGACTCATCCAGTGCTTAGTGTTCTTTGCTAGGTCTCTCACCCAGGACTGGGAACATAAGAAGTGGTTTGGTGGAATCTGTGGGACCTGCAAAGATCTAGTAATAGGTATTTCTTAGAAAATACTGGGTGTTCAAGTTCTTCTGCTTCTGCTTTGTATGCTGCATAGCCAACAACCACTCTTGTTGTTCTTTCTTGACAGTTTGCTGCTGATTGAACAGAAATAAGGAAATTACTCGAATAAATAAATAAAGACCTGCAGATCAGGAGAAGTGGTAGTAAATTGTTTGTTGTTTAGTCACAAAGTCGTGCCTCACCCATCACGACCCCATGGACAACATTCCTCCAGGCTCTCCTGTCCTCCACCATCCCTCAGAGTCCACCCAACCTCAAACTCTCTGTCTCAGTGACTCCATCTAGCCACCTCATTCTCTGCTGTCCAAGTAGTAAATTACAACCATTCTAAACTGAACACAACAAATGCCAATAGGATTGTGGCCCAAATTTAGTTGCATTATTATGTAAATAATGGGCTTGTGTGGAGCAGGCCATTATGAGCTGTATTGCTGATTATAGCAGGAGTTGGTTTGAGCTCCACTGGGGTAGAAGGCAAATCTTTTCTTCCTCTGCCCATCCTTCATTTTCTTTCTGATGTTGCCTTCCTGCCCCGCCCAAGTTTAAAATAACAGTAGTGTATCTGCCCACCCGCCAATAATTGAATTAAATGTAGGCAACAGAAGGCAAGGCTTGCAAGCCTTTGAAATGCAATAACTTCAGCTTGATACATCTTTTCATATAAAAATTAATTCATGAAGCAGAAAGTAGGTAAGGCAAAGCAAGACACTAAACAAGAAAAGAAATATTCTTTTTTTCCAAATACCCTGAGTTCCAAGCTACCTGAGAGAGTGCATGCTTATTATTTCAAGCGTTTTGCTTACACATTCACTTATAACCGTGCATTTGAATGACTCCTCTCTATTGTATTAAGCTACCAAAGAGGAGTTTTAATGCTGAAAAAGAAAGAACTGGAGAAGACCAATGCACTGATTTCATGTTTAGAAGCTGCTTTAAAAGTTCCCATTTATTCCAGTGAAATTAGCATTTCACCCAGACAGCAAGAGTAAAGGCACAATGCTCAGAGGCTTACAAGCTTCCAGCACAAGGCATGAGGCACGATGGTGGTGATCTCTGCTTCCACGGCACAGGACACCTTCAGGGCTGTTTTTGGCCACTTGGTCTGGCGAGGGGAAGGGAAAGAGCCTGAAGCACCAATTGGAATTGACACCACTCTGCAGCTCCAATCCAAGTCTGAAGGCCATGGTACTGTACCCTAAGAAGTGGAAAATTGTAGGCTAGACACCTGCAATAGCTGTGATAAACATATGGAAATCTTCTAAAATCCAATTTACTGGGGGAAATGTGGTAATAGAAAACAGTAGATATCTTGCTAAAATACCCATCTCTCTAAACCTGACAGGACATCTCTGAAATGAAGAACAGAATTCAATGTTCTTGTACTCAGCATGGAAAGAAGAACAATTAAAGAGCAATTTTGGATATTTTTTTAA